TGAAAAGAAAAGCTGAATGAAGAGATAGGATTCACGGCCCACAACCCAATTCTTCATTGGCAGCTATATATAGTTGTTTAATTGCAGACTTAGGGTTGGGTGCAAGGCAGCGTTCCTTTTGTTTGGGCGGCGTGCAAAGAAAAGGAGCGCAAGAGCAGAGGGCGGAAGTTGGGCGTAGGTGCAAAAATAGAGAGGGTATAAAAGTTGGCGTGCAGCTATTGCAGAGGGAGAAAAACGCAGCAGTGAGCCGCCGAGTTTGAGAAGGATTTTGTGCATCTATTTGAGAGAGAATTTGTGAGAGGTCTGAGAGATTGTGTGAGGGTTTAGATTGAGTGATTGTAAACCCTAGTTGTATTCTCTCCCCTCTAATTGTAGATCCCCCTACTTGCCCCGTGGACGTAAGTAATTTGTCGAACCACGTAAAACTTGTGTGATTTGTTGTTTGTGGCCATTGTAATAGTTTATTAGGTCCCTCGACAAGTCAGTCCTAGAACTGATGAGAGGAAGAGCCGATATCTCACTTTGTTAAGATATTCGCTTTAGATTCTTGTTTTCTTAGTGAGACGAGAATTCTTATTGGATCTTTCTCTCTTATTGTGCATTAGAAACTCTGCCGAAATTTTCGCTGCGCACAAGTGGTATCAGAGCTCGGGCTACGCTTGGGCTATTTGGAGGAGTAGATCGATTTGAAAGCTCGTCTAGGGCTTTGTTTGGTGATAAAGGTGGGGTCTTTTGGTAAAGACTCTATCTTTTCAATCTTGAATCTATTCTTCGTTCGTTGGTACGTTGAGAAAGATGTCAGGGAAAGAAGGTGCTTCAGGTGTCGAGGGTGGTGCTTCTGGCGCGAAGACCATTTAGAGTTTGAATATCCACTCTATGAAGATAGATGTGGAGAAGTTTAATGGCACAAACTTTGAATTATAAAGATGCGAGGTTTTGGACGCGCTGAACGCGCAGAATTTGAAGGATACCTTGAAGTTAGATGGCAAGCCAGATGATATTAAAGAGAAGATTTGGAAGAAGATGAATCGAACGGCGTGTGGTGTGATTAGCTCTTGTTTGACTCAAGATCTAAAATATGATGTGATGAATGAGACTTCTGCGAAAAAGATTTGGGAGATTAGATCTAAAATATGATGTGATGAATGAGACTTCTGCGAAAAAGATTTGGGAGATTCTCGAAAGCAAGTATCTGACAAAGAGTTGATGTGATGAATGAGACTTCTGCGAAAAAGATTTGGGAGATTCTCGAAAGCAAGTATCTGACAAAGAGTGTTGAAAACCGCTTACATTTGAAGAGGAGACTTTATCGTTTCCAGTTGAAGAAGGAAACCTCAATTAGTGATCACATGAACACCTACACAAAGCTTCTTACGGATTTGACGAATGTGGATGTTATAATTGAAGATGAGGACAAGACGTTGCTATTGTTGAGTTCCTAGCCCGACGATGAATATAAGACATTCGTTCTTACTCTGATTAATGGGAAGGCATCTCTTTCGTATAGTGAGCTGACTGCTGTACTTGTGAATTATCAGCTTCGAAAGAAGGATAAAGAGGCTTCAGTTGAGCCGGTAGCAGAGGCGTTGGTCGCAAGAGGGAAGAATCCGAACTGGAAGAATTAGAAATCAAAGTCTAGAGTAGGGCATCCTACAATTGAAAAAGATCAGTGTGCTTGGTGCAAGGAGACTGGTCATTGAGAAAAAGATTACCCAAAGCTCGACGAATGGATAAAGAATAAACAGAAAGGAAAAAGGGAAACAACCATCATCAGAAGCAAACATCGTTATGTCGGATGGTAATATTTCTGATATTTCTATTTATTCGTTTTCTATCAGTCCTACAGATTGCTATTCGGAGGAATCCGAGTGAATGTTGGATAGTGATGCGACCTATCATATGTGCCCTAGAAGGGAATGGTTCTCCAGTTTTGAGAAGCTGGATAATGGTGTAGTGAACATGGCTGATAACCGTGCATGCCATATCCTTGGGATAGGAAGAATTAGCATCAAGATGTTTGACGGGACTGTTAGGGAGTTATATGATGTGAGATATGTTTCTTCTTTGAGGAAGAATTTGATCTCGATTGGAGCTTTGGTTGGAGAGGGTCTGAATGTTCGAATTGAGGACATGATTCTCAAGATTATGAAAGACTCTAAGATTATGATGAAGGACGTCAGGAGGAAAACCTGTATTACTTGACTGAAAGTATAGTAACAGGTGGAGAAGTGGCGACTTCTATTGATTCAACTAGACTGCGATATTTGGGGCTTGGTCATTCCAGTATTGATTCCTTACATAGATTGAAAGAGGGTGCGAAGACCTGCAGTTTGAAATCCAGTGAACATGTTGATGTGAGCAAGAAGACCGAGGTGAAATTTGACATCTCTATTCACCGTGCTAAGGGTCATTCTGGAGGTGTTCACGTGGATGTTCGGGGGCCTTCCAAAGAAGCATCATTGGGAGGAAATAGATATTTAGTTTTCTTTGTTGGTGACTGTTCTAGACGTATTTGGGTTACAATCAAATCCTCATTGGAGAAAGTCCTAGTATCCAACAGATTGAAGTGTGAGATTGACAAAAAGATGAAGGTACTTCATTCAGGTTTTGGTGGGAGGTACAAGATAGACTTGTTTCTGTTTTGGAGCCGAGCTCACGGTATTTCGAGACACTTCGTTGGAAAGAAAATCTTGGGACAACTAGATAAGATGGCAAATTTAGAGAACTGTATCTTGCTGGAGGAGGATCAGTGTTTGTTGTCAAGCAATGGTCTGTAGATGAGTTTCTGGACTGAGGTTTTGACATATTTGGGTCATCCTATTAAAGAGTTATCAACTGCTGTGATAGGAGGTAAAACACAATTGGGTGTTTGGTCTGATAGTGTCACTTCGGTTGAGGCTTCGATGAGGGAGCTAATTGACTCTCAGCAGGTGGAGAGTTTTGGACAGACCTTAGACGTATCGCAGCAGGCGAGAGTGATGCTACTCCATATTGGATGGAGATTACTCCACATACTCCAGATCATACTGCATCATTTGGGATTCCAGCTGAGGTGACACAGTTAAGGGATTAATTATTTTTAGATGCAGATGATGAGTTGGTTTTTGATTCGAGTGTAGCTGGCAGACATAGTTTGGATATGGCCATTGGTTCACCTCAGGTGGAGGTGTTTGATTCGTTACACTTTGAGGCCATTGGAGGTGTTATCAGCTGCAGAGTTGATGATATTGGAGAAGGATTGCGAACTCTTCTATTGGAATGAGGTCGTTCACGGCCATTTGAATGAACTACGTGAGGCTTGATTCCTTAGGCAAGAGGATACGTAGGCAGTCTTTATGATGCAGCCGGTTTGGATTAGTTGATTTTAATAGGGGTGAGATCGATTTGATGAATTGATACCGACATTTAGAGAGTGTTTGCATTCTCATTTGGGTTCTCGACTTGTTGTGAATTGAGTCTGTTGTCGTGAATTATTTCACTTCGTCCTGGACACAACAAGTGGGATATTTGTTTTGGTTGGTGTCGGCTCAGTTTTGGGAAAACTTCGCCGAGGTGGAGAATTGTGAATGCGTTGAGACCAGTGAGGGCCACATCCCACGTGAAGTGATTGTGGAGCTTTTTCACGTGATTGTAAATCGCGTGAAAAGAAAAGCTGAGTGAAGAGATAGGATTCACGGCCCACAACCCGATTCTTCATTGGCAGTTATATATAGCTGTTTAATTGCAGACTTATGGTTGGGTGCAAGGCAGCGTTCCTTTTGTTTGGGCGGCGTGCAAAGAAAAGGAGAGAGCAGAGGGCGGAAGTTGGGCGCAGGTGCAAAAACAGAGAGGGTATAAAAGTCGGCGTGCAGCTATTGTAGAGGGAGAAAAACGCAGCAGTAAGCCGCCGAGTTTGAGAAGGATTTTGTGCATCTATTTGAGAGAGAATTTGTGAGAGGTCTGAGAGATTGTGTGAGGGTTTAGATTGAGTGATTGTAAACCCTAGTTATATTCTCTCCTCTCTAATTGTAGATCCCCCTACTTGCCTCGTGGACGTAGATAATTTGCCGAACCACGTAAAACTTGTGTGATTTGTTGTTTGTAGCCATTGTAATAGTTTATTAGGTCCCTCGACAAGTCAGTCCTAGAACTGATGAGAGGAAGAGCCGATATCTCACTTTGTTGAGATATTCGCTTCAGATTCTTGTTTCTTTGGTGAGACGGGAATTCTTATTAGATCTTTCTCTCTTATTGTGCACCAGAAACTCTGCCGAAATTTCCGCTGCGCACAACAAAGAAAACATCAGAGGTAATAGATGTAACACCTAATTCTCCCCAATCAATATGATGAACTATGAAAAGATCCAGCAATAAAAACCTAAATCATTCAATACTCTTTAACAATTCTCGGTAACACTTAATTCAAGTATCACAGTTACGCATCAGAGAGCAGGAGACTTAACACTTTGACCAAATCAAGACAGTAGCCAAATATCATGTTCTGCATCAAGAAAACATCAGAACTAGTTGATGGAACAACTAATTCTCCTCAATCACTACCGTAACCTAAATCATTCAATACTCACAATTACGCATCAAACAGCGGGATACCTAACAAACGATTGAATTGATAATCGCTAATCAGTGAAGAATCTGACATCAATAAACTAAATCGAATAATGCATCACAAAAATGACAGAACAAAAGCGTCAGAGAGCAAAAGGCCTAACGACTTATATGATCAATAAAGGCTAATCAGTGAAGAATCTGACATCAGTACGCTAAATCAAACAATGCATCGAGAAAATAACAGAACAAAAGCATCAGAGAGCAAGAGACCTAACAATTAGAACGAAATCGAGCTAATCTGACATCTACAAGCTAAATCAAGAAGTTTATCAAGAAAGTGACTAGAACAAAAGCATCAAAGAGCAGAATACCTAGCACTCAGCTCCAATCCACGATCGCAAACGGGAAACTAAACAGAGCAAAGAAATCAATAAAAGAGAGAAGAAGCGGACCGGAGTTTCCGAGGGCGCATCTTGCAAGAAACGGCGACGGACGGCGAGCGTCTCCGGTGCATCGGCAGGCTAGCGGTGAGGTTGCAGGAGCTCGGGAAATGGCTGACGGCGGCGAGGACAAGCCGAGAAAGAGTCCATCGCCATTGAAAGAGAGCTCGGAGGCTAACGCCGACCCCCCCCCCCCCCCTCTTTCTCTCTCTTCTCTTGATTGAGAGAAGCAGCAGTCCTCGTGCTGCTCCCAGTGACGCAGAAAAAATGGGAGGGAGGGTGGAAGAGAGAAAAAAATGTGGAAAAAATATCTTTTTGGGTCCTTTAATGACCCACTCTTGGCTTTTGTGGGTTTTTTTATCTGGATCCAGTGATCTCAAGGAGTGCTTGATGGAAGATTTGCTGAATTCAACGGCCCACAGACTGACACGTGTAATGTAATTTCATACTTGGAAAATATAAGAAAGTGATAATAGTGTATGAAATGTGTGAAGAGGATGGAATAATAAGTACAATTCTTCCACCATTTGAAAGTAAAGCTTCTTTTCAAGTAGAACCTAGAGATTGAGATGCACATAAGCATGACAACTAATGCGCTTCTAAAAATTTGGACTAATTACATTAAGGTGCCTTTAAGTATAGTGTAATCACACGAGTAATATCGAAATCTATGTATCTGCATAGCTAAATTTGAGATTATTAATTATAATCACACGATTGACCTAAATTTTGATTGGTGGATTAACGTTACGTTTTTTACCGATGTGAAATTCTTTTTGAATATTTATAAGAATTAGAGCAAGAGTTATGAGCAAGATCAGAATCATGATCATGTAAAAAATGCTGCCTATTAATATTGGGATTAGAGCTAAGATAATGAAAATGTAGCGAGTAACCATTGCTCCTAACTCCTACTCTAATCCTAATCCTAATACAAACCCTAACACTAACCGTGACTCCAAATTGGGGGGGGGGGGGGGAATAGACTGTATAACTACAAGCAATACTTTTAGAATTATTCATGAATATACATAAATGCTACGGTCATCCGTGTAATTACATCTACATATTTTCATTTACTTCTACGAAAGAAGCTAAGGATTAGACGATATTTGTGTTTTGAGCGAGAGAAATAGAACAGAACATATTTTCTAGTTGTTCTGAGCTTATATCTAAAAGATTAAACATGGAACATCAAACTTGAGACCCTAATGTTAAGGAGTTGTTTCAGCAAATCATATTGTTTCTTAAAAATCCGACTATGTAAGATCACGAGTTAAAGAGTCTATAAGAAATAGAAAATGTTGCTCTCATTTTCGCGCACACCCAGATTCCATCTGTGGCTAATGGTGATTGCTAAGATTGTGAAGATTGCAGCAAAATTTGTTTGTATAATTGTATATAATATAGTTAGTTTTCCTTTTTTACTGTCAAGGTACTAATTTTGAGTGGTTTTTAGAGAGTTTGTAATTGAAGCTTGCCTTGGCATTGAATAAAGCTCACCTTCAAATATTCCCAACCACACAAAAAATCCCCCACCTCACCAAAAAAAGATAAAAAACAAAAAGAGAACTTGAGACCCATAACGAACATCAAACAATAATTTCGCGGTGGGCCTGTAAGCGAACGAGCCTAATATGCACCGAAGTTGCCCTTAAAAAATTTATGAGCGGCAACAAGAAATAAAAATACCTAAAAAGTAAAAAAACCCATCATAAATTTAGATACGGATGTGAAAAGGAGCCCGATCCGACCCGAAGTGGCTCATAGAGATCGGGTCCACGCTGGGCTCCGATAGCATATAGTCCGAATCGAAACAGGTCTTTCCATTCGCTCCAAATTCCTCGGACTCTATATAAACGCCACCACCCTGGGTTTTATTTTGCTCTCCATACAAAACTTGCCTCCGGCCTCTCTCAAAACCCTAACCCTAGAGAGAGAGAGAGGGGGGATGAAGATCGCCGCCGCCTACCTCCTTGCCGTCCTCGGTGGAAACGCCACTCCCTCCGCCGCCGACATCAAGGCCATTCTCAACTCAGGTCCAGATCTGTCTTCTCCTCTCATCTCATATCTATAAATCCTAACCCTAGTTTCTTGTTTTCTCTTTGATTTTTTGCAGTCGGAGCGGAGGCTGAGAATGAGATGATCGATCTGCTGCTTAGCGAAGCCAAAGGGAAGGACATCACCGAACTGATCGCGGCGGGGCGGGAGAAGCTCGCATCGGTCCCCTCCGCGCGGCGGTGCTGTTGCTGCGCGCGGCATCGGCGGCGGCGCTCCTGCAAGAGGCGCCCGCTGGAGGCTAAGAAGGTGGAGAAGGAAGAGATCGTGGAGGAAGAGGACGAGGTAAGATTTATCTATCAATTTGGTCCATTTTTATTATAATTTATTGTTTTTGTGTATTTTGTCGATTAATTTGTTTTTTTATTTTTTTAATTTTTTTTCAATTGTAGGACATGTGCTTTAGTTTGTTCGATTGAGGTTATGGCGATTTGTTGCAGACTCACGGTATCACCAAGGATTTTAGTTGCTAGATGTTGATGGTTAGGTTTAGATTTTGGCAGCGTAGTTTTAGCATAAAAAGGAAAATTAGTCTTTTGAATTTTGAGTTTAACTGTTGGGCTTGTTTTTCATGATATCAAATAGAAATTAAATACGATGAAGATATTGGTTTGTATTTTGGATATGAGAACTAAAATTAGTTTATGGTTTAATGCTTTTGTCATCACCTTATAACATAATTTTATTTGGATGCAGTTGAATCCTAATTAACCATGAATTATTTACATATAATAATCACCGCAATATTTTGTGAGTTTGAGTAAAGCATCAACTGAGCGAATCCGCTATGCAATGGCAATAATAATTGAATAATTATCGAAAGTTTGAAACAGTGTTTTTTCCGTGCAATTGGATTCAAAATATCGATTTAGACAAATCAAATATAGCTGATCCTTTATCGTCTATGTTCATTTGATCTAGATTCTACGCTTATTTTGAGATACTTAGCTTCAAAATAATTTGATCTTCTGTCCGCGTTCATGTCTAATCTATTAAGAATTAACTAAAGAATATTATTATTATTATTTTCCTTCAGAATTTAGTGTTTCAAGTTTATTAACAATTGTTAAGGCTAAATTGCACAAAAGTACCATAAAGTTTCTCATTTTGACAATTAAATAATACAAGTTGCATTTTGGTACAATAAAATATCATAAAGTTCCTAAAATTTGTATCTTCCATAGATCATGCAAACATGCAAATAATATTTCTCCATGATACGGCGGGCATGCTAATTTAAGAGCTTTTTCATTAATAATATTTATCAAATTTGCTAATAAACTAACCATTTTTTTTCAAACTTATCTTAATTCTACTTTAAAATACATTTGGGATATTTCTAAACTTTTTTTAATAATTAGAAATCTCTGAAATTAGTATCTAAGTATCATGGAGAAATATCCAGGAGAAATTTTTCATCGTTTGCGTGATTAATGATAGTAACGTGCCAATTTTGAATCCTTTATAAGATTTTATTGTGTCAAAAAGCAACTTATGATATTCAATTATCAAAACGAGAATATTTTTGTGCAATTTAGCCAATTGTTAATGATTGTTAATTCCATAGCGCGCAATCTACTACAAGGATATAACTTTTAGATATTTCGTTTAAGGCCTAGTAGCAATTTACCAGGCCATTAACCTCCCATCTCCATAGATAACGGGCTATCGAACAAGTCTGGGCCTCAAGCCCATAACTGCATTTCAAAGCCCAGAAAGCGGTGAAAGATGTGGAAAACCTTGATGATCTGGCTTAATGGAAACTTAAAGGAGGTCATGGCAATATTATGCTCATCAGGCTGGTAATCATGTTTGAAGTTTACAAGCAATCAAAATATCAATTTATATATTGCTTCAAACAGTACCAGGAAACCCCGATCGAAGTTGCCGCATTTGCATTGAAAACATAAAACCGCACTGCATTATCTCAGATCATTGCCATCGCATACTCTTCGTTCCGATTCTAGGGAAGACAGAGGCAAGATACCTAGAATCTTATTCTACAGTTTTAAGAATGGACTCAATGGAGGGATACAAATATTTGTGAGAACTCACATGAATATTTGACCCCTGCAAAATGAGAAAAATCTCCCAACATTACAGGTGATCGTATTACATCCTTGGCTTCGTCATTATATTAACAGACCGTAACTCCTTATTGACTTCCAAATAGGTCAATTTCTTATAAATGTAGTATATAAAACGAACGGAACTATTGCTATTTCATCTATAAGTTGAATAACCAAGCTAGTTTTGTGACAAATACAGAAAACATTCATCTGAAAATGCAACATTTGCTGATTGATGCTTACATCATCGTCATGAGATAATTCCAATAATCAACAAAACACCTTGCCTTCTCCAAATATGGCCATCAAACGATACACAAGGTTTCTTCTGTTGTGAATCCCTTCATCATGCAATGATCACATAATTTTTGCCGTAGCCCGTATCCACAGCAGTTGGTGGCAAATTATGTCTATAAAAGTTTCCCTCTCTCAGTTTAGCATGAGTTTCTGCTTCGTGTTGAAATGTCGACACCAATTGTTGAAGCTCGAGCTTTCTCACTTGAACTTGCCCTTCAGTGATTGGCTTCTTAAGACCGAGATATAGCATCCCGAGCCCAATCAGTATGATCCCAATGAAGAGGAGAAGTCCAGCAAACAAGCCAAAAGCATAGGGAGTATTTTGCGCTCCTGGTATGCCATCTACATTGATTCCAAAGAGACCGGTAAGAATTGAGAGGACAAGGCCGCAACCACCGAAAATGGCCAAGTTGTGATTTATTCTGAGACTCTTATCCTAAATTTCAAAGCAGCAAATGAAAGTTTCAAAGATGTCAGTAAGCAGAACATTTAGGATGCCGTATGTTCTGATGAAAGTATAACACAACATCAACAAAAACAAACCCTTTATTCCAGATTTTAGGGATAGGCTACATATGCTCCAGGATAATATTTTCTTGTGCTATGCTATGAGCTAAATAATTAAGAGCACAGAGTATATCACTTATTACCAGAGATTGAAAATGATTGGGAAAGAATGGAGCAAAAGCAGAAAGATGCAGTAGAAACAAAGGCAATAGCACTATTCAACTCAATACACTTGATAGGTAATATATCAGCTGATATTTGGAACAGGGTATCATGTACAAACTTCTAGATATGGGTGACATGTGGTATAAACAACGTGGCCAAATTTTTATTTTCATACCTCAGAAATAAACCTCACTAAATAATACCTCAGTCTTTAACATCAGCAAGTTTGAAACAACATTAGGTTACCAGAGCAAAGTAAGGTGTTGATAGAACACAGAGGACAGAATAACGTAGTTGGTTTTAGGGGTTGTTGAAAATTATCTTTCGGTGTTCGATACTGGAAAAAAAAAGGAAAAAAAAAAAAAAGTAATACAGCAGGGTATCATGGAGCTATTAATCAATTTAGCCCTTGAAGGTAATAGAAATGAAAGAAAAATAATTGTCTCATTTTTCCTTTACTTTTATTTTTATCTTTTCATCTGCATCCAACAAAGCCTTCACCATAAAAACAGAACACTCAATCACAAAAACAATTGTGTATAAGAAATTTGTATAAATCAGGGAATATTTTCCATACACCTGCAGCCATGCACGAACAGTGTTCTGCAACACATCCTGAATTGTAAACAGCCTTCCACGAACAGCTTCTTGCTCTTCTAACATTTCCCTCGTACTCTTTTTTATTCCCTCTAACATATGTTTCGTGTTAATTCCCCTCAAATACTGGACAAGCTCAAATACAATCTCCTCTCTTGCATGAAGCGACCATTTAACTCTAATAACCTGGCAAGAGTTAAAACATATAACCAGTACAGTGAGTGCAAATTAGAAAGAATTGTAATTACAAAATAAAAGCTGTACAGTTTTATTAGAAGATTTTATTTCAACTATGAACAGATAGTAAAAGCAAAATGTGTTTCTGGATTTGGTCCATCCCCAGTAAATCTTAACGACTGCGCAAGTAAATTAAGTAATAATATCTATTGACTAAAGTGAACATTTTTTCCCGCTTGTTTTGCTACATCATGTTACATATGATCTTCTTACATTTAATCTTCTGATTTCAAAATTTTTAAACTGTAGACTTTGCAGGGTAAACACAGATTGCTATTAGTGGAATGAGCATATATGTTGAATACTTAGATGCAAATCTAGACTTGGTTGGATAGGCATACCTCAGTTGAGATTTTTTTTGTTGCTCAGTCAGAACATTTTGTTTTTTCCTTTTAGGTACTTTTTTTTTAAAACCATGTTGCATGCATAATTCTCCAAATTAAGGGGAATGATATTCTAGGAGACCAAATCTTATTCTTCGTTTTGATGATATTATCAAAATTAACTATCAAATAAACTAAATGCAACAAGGCTCACCCAGTCACCAGATACTGAATAAAGGCTCTCTGAAATCTAGTGAATGAAAAATATGAAGTATTATTGATTTCCTTAAATAAGCCCTCCAAATAACACCTTCACCCAATTCCTACTACTTATCCGTCATCCACGTTCGCTAGGATTAAATATTAGCAGTTCTCTCTGATGGCAACGAAGTGAAAGGTTTCCTATAATAGCATAGCAAAAGCCATGGTGATGTTTGTTAATGTTCGAGAAGAGTCAATTGCCTAAGTCATCTTCGACATATCTAGCTTTATTTCTAGTCATTAGCCTTCCTTTATAAAAATCTTACATTACCAAGTTCAATTTCCGAACTTCAAATTTGAAAAAGTGATTCCTAAGAAGCAAATTAAGGAAATCAAACCTTAGGCATTTTTCACCTTGTGGTAACAACCCAAAACCAACTAATAATATGTCAGATTATAGATTTTTTGGAGTACTTCCAGTAGATGGTGTAACGGAAGTTCTTCACTACTAGTTTAAGTGTATATGTACATCATGGATATACTCATGATGCCTAGCTCATCGGCTTAGTTCAAGACAAGGACACAATGGTAAACAGGCCACAGTATTTATAAAAGGTATTTATGTGGTAAAATAGAGGTATTGATCACTTCCCAATAGTGCAAAACAAGAAGCTGGAACAAGAGAGTAAGAATCTCTGCCAGAGCCAAGGTCTTCGCCCGGAGCTTCCCTTCCGTCTGGAGTTAAGTAGAAAAAGGTAAAGTAGAAAACTATATATCAGTTTCCGTAAGCCAATAAACTAGTCTTATTCATGATAAACAATAGGGTTTCTTGTTTACGTACCCCATATATCATGTGTATTTGCAAAACAACACCCAAATCTTAGTATTTGCAAAACGACCCGCCCAAATTATCAACTTTGGAACCCGATCAAAAAATAATAACATGAACTTGGTAGATCAGAAAAGTATAGATACAATAAATAAAAGGTCAGGTGCAGTAAAACCATCCTCAAAACTGAGGCATATGGGTGGCATCTCTAGAAAAGGGGAGGTAGATCAATGTATAAAACAAATCTAACTATATGAACACTATGCATAGAAAGTACTGCACAAATGAGGAATTTAATGCCAGAATGAACTCTGGTTTTGAAGAAGATTAAGCTTTTACAGATCATTAAGATGTTGCAAGAGTACCTGTCTAGCCAATCTCCTGATTTCCTGGTTCAATATTGAACTTAATAGATTTAAATCTTCATGATTTCTCCTGATCCAGAGAAAAACATTACAAATCAGCTCAACAAAAGCATATAAGAAAAAAATACAGATCCATATAATTCTTAAGGAAACAACCTTGAATATATTAATACTAATGGGAGCATCTGAATGTACCTATTTACAAACTTCAACTCAATTTCATCTGCTGCTCCAAAGACAAGTTTGCGGAACATTCTATAACATAGCAAAAGGCAATTATAAGAAAATCTAAAATATTGGATAAAGATAGTTAGCCTCTATCAGATGGTACAACCATTAGACTGAATGTTTAATGGCAATCTAGTGGGTGTTGAGTGAGAGAAACACATCCTTTAAAGCAAACTTCTGTCAAACATAACGCTATAACAAGTAACCTAGATGTATGACCATCAATTGTGATAAATGGTTGACATAGATACAGACTGTACCAACGATAAGTCAATATCAGACAGTTTGATTTCATTTTTTTTTTGCCAGCATATATTGCAGACTTACAGACCTATCGTGTACAGCAAACATATCTTAATTTTCAACTAATTATTGCGTGTTTTCACATCCAAAGCAGATCTATCTCCAATGGCACCTCCAAAATCGTCTTCGTCGCTCATTTGCTAAGATTAGGTTATAAAACTCATGTTGAGAATCAAGAGGAGTTTAGGTTCTCGAGAAAGCAAGTCAACAGTTCAATATAGAAAAAGATTTTTTAGTGTGCTTGGAGTGTCATGTTTCTAAACGACAGCATGGAACCTCATGGACTCAGTAACATGTCTGCCTTGGCTAGACATTCAAGGGTGTCGACAATAAATTTGTTCATGTATAGAAGCGAACATAGTGAAGAGCAATCTCCTTATGTTTTTCTTTCATGGAATTTAGGCTATTTGGTCGATAAAACCATCCTAATATTTCAATATACAACAACAGACAGACAATAAAAATGAATCCACTCAGATGCTAAAAAAGGTTAAGAAGTACTTTAATGGTCAAACAATACTGATAATTAAGATGAAAACACATTATGTATGAATAGAAGGAAGAATATTTTTTTACCTCCCTCTTTCTATTCCCCCAGCCAAGATATTCATAAAGACGAAAGCAAAAAAAATGAACTTAATATTACTAAGCAATATTTGATCCAATGGATCTAAGATTTCCAAGTTGATCTTTTGTTTTTCTAGATAAAGTCTATCTTTTGTTTTTCTAGATAAAGTCTATCTCACATCTAAGTATCTATTATACACATTATAGAATAGAAGTATAGCATAAAAAGTAGTGAAACTTGAGATTCTTCCTAGCATGTGAAGATGGGGACTGTAGGCGTCAAAAAATGCTGAAAGATATCCAAATACAGCTCAAGAGGAGATCAAAAGAACACAAAAGACAGTGTAAACTGTCTCGGCACGCGAGACAGTGTTTACTGTCTCGCAGGCGAGACAGTGTTTACTGTCTCGCAGGGGAGACAACTTTCAAAAGTTCAAAACTGTTTTATAAACCGCCGACACGTGGCCAAAGAACATGGGAAACGTCGTGGGCAAGAATCACATTGACAACTGCCAAAATAACGGAGTTTTAAAACGTGGGAAAGCAGTTACAAAACTGTCAGGCAGTTTAAGGTTTCCGAGACAGTGTTTACTGTCTCGGAACCCGAGACAGTCTTTACTCCCCGAGACAGCAAACACTGTCTCGGAAGCATTATTTCGTCCAAGAGTTATAAATACCCCCCTGAGACCATTTTTTAGAGTAGGCTGATTTTGGAGCAGAGAGAGCAGAGTTCCTGAGCTTCTGGCAATTCCTTGAGATTCGAGCTTTGACTTGATCTTAAGAAGAGTGATCGTCTTACTTTGATAAGATCTTCACTTCAAATTCCTACTTTGATAAACGAAGGAAGAATCACTTAACCCCTCACGATTCAATCAGAATCTGTGATTTGGTAGTCCACGAGTCAAAGCGTTTCCGGCACAGGCAAAGATCCCACGCAAGCAGCGATCCAAACAACGATCCTGTGTTTGTTTCTAAAAAATTATAATTTTCATTTTGTTGTGTAAAAGAAGTCTTATAAAAAGGCTATTTCTTTTGAATTTATTGTAATCGATTGAAGATATGATGAATTCCATAACAAAGTCAACTTTTGCTGAAAACAAACTGGCGACCACAGTGGGAGCCAACGGTCTCGCTACCGAGACCGTCGTGTCGCAGCCGATCAAGATTCCAGTTGAATCCATGGTCGAATACGAGTTCGACCAAACCAAGTTTGAGGAATATCTCTCATCATCCTCTTCAAGATCTTCATGGTATCGCAAGTACAAGAGGATCTCACCATTGAAGAAAACTTACATGCCAAAGAAGGCACAAAATGAAGACTCTCGCCTGATTGTTGCTGAGAAATCTACTCGCAACATCTCTGCTCGCGATGACTCTTATCTAGTTAAAGAGTCATCGAATCAAAACCCATCGGCACTGACGAAGAGGGCTCGTCAGAGACAACGTCAGTGCCGCGCTCGCCAAATAGCTAAGGCCTTGGAACAAACCGACAGGGTTCGTTATCACGCGGACCTAGAGTCGAGGAGGCATCGAGTGGTTCAGTTGTCTCAACGACCAATAACTCATACCTCTGCTAAACTAACGACGGATGAATGGACTTTTGTCAAGAAGGTTCGCTCGACCCTCAATGAACGTATACAAAAGCGTCGTGCAAACGCAGATCATGCCCATGCTCTCTTACAACGAAGACGAGAAAGAAACAAGGAAACGGTGGCCAAAGAACCACCAAAACTCTGCAAAATTTGGATTTTAAAGTCTGGAGTTGTGCAAAATCAGCATTCGGAGCTCGTTAAGACTCCGCACCCGCAAGGGGGTGGTTCTAAACGTGTGACTCCTGACATAACCTTGGATCGCTCAAAGGAAACAATGATTTGTCTTGAGAATGCCAACAAGGCTTTACACCTCCAGAAGAAGACGTGCTCTCCAAAAGACATCGTTATACTTGTGAGGTCATACCAACAGACGATAGGATTTTTCGGCAATCATACCGATAAATCGTACTATCAAGCTGGGGGTGCGAATAAATTATGAAAGAGAATTGTTCAAAAAATGAACTCTCATTGTTCCTGTGTGCGACTCATTAGAGCAGTATTGTCGGAATATGATTACTCCAAACGAGAAGCCATCCCGCAAAGAGTCTCAATGGTCTAGAGACTTTTCACCAAAATGTCAAAGCCCAAGCCAAGACATTTCTGCAAGAAACTTGTTGTCCAAGAGGATGAATTTCCTGAAGTCACCATCAACATGATTGATAAAAAAAAGTCTAAGCAGCATTCAGGTGACTCAGATCCTGACTTTTCCCCGACAGGAAAAGTCAATTCAAGAATTGCTCAACGGATGTCCCAACTCCAGTTAGGAGCCAACAGACGTAGAGACTACAAGAGAATGTATGAAGGAATGTCATCAGAGGATGAGCTCTCGGACACTTGTTCTGCGATCGCTTCGGATGATACGGTATCTAGCACAGGACAAACCAGAGAAGTACTCACAATCACCTCTGATCAGTTCACTCAAATACTTCAAGAAGGCGAAGCTCTAACCAAACAACGTGAAGAAATTAGAGCTGAAATGAAGACAGAGATGGAGTTAGCTATCCAACAAATGAGAGAATTGCTAGCTCAACGGCATCAACCTCCTGAGTCCAGTCAGCGAGCTGAATCCAGTCGCCACATTCAGAATGTTGTAGATGATAGTGATCCAGAAGTGGATGAAGTTATTATGGCTGATACTCCTCCCAATAACAATAACGTTGTTGGTGGTTTAACGGATCCTCCCAATAACGATATTGGGGGTGGTTCAATGGCATCTCTTACAGGGGGTGACCTAACTCATTCTCCTCAACGTCCTTCAAATGAAGACATAGACGATGACGAGAAAATGAAAGAACTTGGAAACAAAATCAACGCTTTGATGACGGCTCAAGAAGTGAAAAAGACGGGTATTCCATGTCCCTATCCAAGAGAATGGAATTCAATACCATACCCGGTAAAATTCAATCTGATTAACTTCACACCGTTTGACGGGAAAAGCTCGCCTACTCAGCACTTGATTTATTTCAATTCTCATTTGGGCATGATCTCTGAAAACGAGGCTTTAATGGTCCGGTCATTCGTTGGCACCCTTCGTGGGCCCGCCTTCGATTGGTATCGACGTCTCAAGCCAGGGAGCGTCAATTGCTGGGATGACATGAAAAGTTTGTTCCTCAGCAATTTCTTCGATGATGACACCGAAGTGTCAATCGGAACCCTTTTAGATGAGAAGCAAAAAGACAGAGAGTCAGTCGACAATTTTGTCAAACGTTTCCGTAACAAAGCAATGAATTGCAGAGATCCTATTACAGAGGAGTTTATCCTGCAAACATGCCACAATAATCTCTCTATCGATGTCCTGGAAGTCCTGGGGGTCGTACCATCCAAAACTTGGAAGGATTTGAAAATACGCGGTCAACAAGCCGAACACTTTCTTAAAAGAAAGAAAGTTGAGAGAGGTCAACCAACGACATCCGCAATTCCTGTGAACGCGACTCTCGATCCGAGGTTCCAAAAGGAGTATTCTTTCGAAGATGATGAAGCTCCAGCCATCTTGAAATACCTCATCACCAACGACAAGATCGAGCTACCACCTCTTAAAGATCAGGAGGGAGCTAAAAGGATTACGGATCCAAACGACTGTGCATACCACAGAAGGGTTCTTCATCCCACTAAGGTTTGTTTTGGACTAAAAAATAAAATCCAAGTCTTAATTGGCTTCGGCGTCATAATGGCGAAACAAGCCAAATAAAAATGACCCCAACTCCATTGGGTGCATGAGTATAAACTGATTCCCCTCACTCCAAAGAGTATACGAGTATAAACTGCTCCTCAATACTCCAATAGGTATATGAGTCTAAACTGTTTCCCACTCTTGACGGGAAGTTCCTGAAGAATTTTTACATGTAATATTCTTAAGGATAACATGATCATGTAACTCGGTATGATGTTAGACCCAGTTTCGCGAAGAAAGCTGGGGGTGGATGGTTCATGTAACGGAAGTTCCCGAAAGAATGCTATAGGTAATTTTCTTAGGGATAACCCGATCACTACAAACAAAGTGATAAACACTACATCCCCACGGTGATTTCCGAATACTCTTTTGCTGAGATGAGATTCGATCACTTCGTTGGATCAATCTTCCCTCACAAAATTCTCACTTGGTCAAACCTTTAAACAGTTAGGACCAAAGCCAAAATCCTCTCTCGATTCCTTCCATGAACGAGAGGTCCACACCCTTTTGGTCAAACCTTTAAACAGTTAGGACCAAAGCCAAAATCCCCTCTCGATTCATTCCGTGAGGATCGTCTCAAATTCCCATCTGGTCAAACCTTTAAACAGTTAGGATCGTCTCAAATTCCCATCTGGTCAAACCTTTAAACAGTTAGGACCAAAGCCAAAATCCTCTCTCGAGTCCCTCCATGAACGAGAGGTCCACAAATTGAGCGATCAAATCTTTAAACAGTTAGGATCGTACCAAACTCCCACTTGGTCAAACCTTACTACAGTTAGGACCACAACCAAAATCTCTTCTCGATTCATTCCATGAACGAGAGGTCCACTTTTAGTTGAATAATCAAACCTTATGACAGTTAGGATTATTCAAACCCGTCCAGATTCTTTAAGTGGAGATCCCACTTTGAGTTTTCTTTGCACCTAGGAGATAGAATATAAAATTCTTCCTCTCCGATTTCGGGTTCATCTCTACCAACAAACAAGAGACCAGGAGATAGAATATAAAATTCATTCTCTTCGATTTCGGGTTCATCTCTACCAACAAACAAGAGACCAGGAGATAGAATATAAAATTTTTCCTCTTCATCATTGGGTTCACCTCTACCAACAAAAAAGAGACTAAAATACTCCAATAGGCACACGAGTCTAAACTGTTTTCCTACACTCGACAGGCAGTTTCTGGAGAATATTATTCTGAAGGATAACCTGACAAACTCTCGAGGGACGTACAAGTATCAATTTGGTGATAAAAGTCAAAGAGATACCAACTTCGATTCAAGATCTCGATAACGGTCGAGCAATAAACGCAGTACCGGAAGAGTATTAGCCCCGTGAGATCCAACTTGATAACTGGTACAAGTCAAAGAGATACCAACTTCGATCCAGAGGGTTATAAATACCCCCCTGAGATCATTTTTGAGAGGGGCTGATCATTTTTGAGCATTTTAAAGCAGACAGAGCAGAGTTCCTGAGCTTCTGGCAATTCCTTGAGATTCGAGCTTTGACTTGATCTTAAGAAGAGTGATCGTCTTACTTTGATAAGATCTTCACTTTAAATTCCTACTTCGATAAACGAAGGAAGAATCACTTAACCCCTCACGATTCAATCAGAATCTGTGATTTGGTGGTCCACGAGTCAAAGCGCTCCCGGCACAGGCAAAGATCCCACGCAAGCAGCGATCCAAACAACGATCCTGCGTTTGTTTCTAAAAAGTTATAATTTTTATTTTGTTGTGTAAAAGAAGTCTTATAAAAAGGCTATTTCTTTTGAATTTATTGTAATCGACTGAAGATATGATGAATTCCATAACAAAGTCAACTTTTGCTAAAAACAGGGACTAACTCAGATTACCTGTCATCCCATCGAGAAAGTCGGCATGCCAAATGTGCAATAACTTCATGAACTGACTTAGGAGCTGTACTCCCACCAGCAAGAAGAAGCTCCTGAAGAAAAATACATTATTATCAATGGACGGAAAATTTTATATTGGGACAAATAAAGTCCGTTAGTAAAGGTAATAAGGAATCCAAAGAGTAATTTGCTCAGGATGATCCCTCCTATGTTTACAAATACCTGAACTTCTGTGATTCCGAGGACATTTATGTTTGATGCGGAACCTTTGATATGTAATGCTGTTATTAGAAAGTTTTGGGCTTGCCATGATCTAAGCACAATAGGTATATCATCCTCATCAGAAAATGGATCAGCAATTGACTGCCCCAAGAGCTCAAATAATAGACCACCTGCCACCCTAACTGGGACCTGAACAAATTAATTATTACTGCAAGCATTGTGCATCTAATCCTAAATGACAAGAGATAAACAATTTTGTAGATCTCTAGGTACAAACAAAGGAAAAGCATTACCTCATACAAAAGATGCTTCATGCGTTCACTAATAAGCCGATTTTCATCTCTCAATGCAATACTGATGGCAGGATGCAGCCAATGAGCACCACTTAGCCACGATTGAATGGACTGATGAGCGGGGTTAACATGACACCACCATGTGGGCCCCACTGGACGCTCCCAGTATGGTGCTGCAACACCAGCAACAGTAAAATCATCCTCATCCTCAGCCAAGCATATTTGCTCTGAATCCCATTTTTCATCAACTCGAACCATTTGAACCAGCTCTTTAATCCTTTCCCATCCAATAGGAACCCAGTGGCTATCATAAATTTGAGGAACTCCTGCAGCTCCTTCATTAGAGATACTCTTGTTTAGGTCTATATCAGATTCTGGTATCGCTCCACTGCTGATGGTTCGTGTGTGTACCTGCTTCTTTACATTTGGAGTGCCTCTTCTTGGCGTTGAATGAGTTGCCGATCTATGACCTCGAATAAATTCAAAAGCAAAGATGAGGCCATCCTTCCAAAGATTGTTCCCTTGCCCTCCTTGGGGCTTATTGACCTCTTGGTTATTATTCTTGCCATTCAAGATAGTTTGCGGATTTTCGATCTCACTCATTTTACCTTTGAATCAACAAGAGTACAAACTACCGAAAGCTAAAGAGAAATTGAAGATCTTTGGATGTTTTGGAAGTTTTAAAAAAAATATGGGTTCAAGATTAGGCGAGCTATAGGCTTCAGGATGAGCTTTCAGAAACCTTAAATCAAAACAACGTGATTACATCTCTTTTCCTCCAATTAGAGCTATAGAACAGAGAAAATGGCAGCCAACAACATCGACATACCTGATACATAAGGCAAAAGGGTATACATAATCAATCAAGGAAATAGCAACCATAAAAAGTGAATCGTCATTTCACCTATAATATAAAGTTTGTGCTTATAAGATTACACTTCCATCGGTTCAAATTCGCTAATTTTCATATTCCACAAAACTCTACGAAGCTTGCAAGCGCACCACTACCGAAGCTTAATCTACTGAAACGTAGTTCAGTGCATCATGGATAAGCCAAATGTCCGTCGCATTTGCGACGCGTATCATAAATACAAAAGGAAAATGCTATTACTTTGTAACAGCTTTTTCGCGCACACTTAACATAAGAGCACCACATGACGTTCTCTTCAAAAACAAACAAACAATACAACAGCACGCAACTAAAAAAAGAAAGAAATAAATAAAAACTAACTAGTTGCAGAAAGGCGAAAGTTGACAGCAATCCCGAGTTTGTCATAACTAGAGGATGAACTGGGTCACAAATTCAGAATTTTACCAGAAATAATCAACTATATGATACTCACATCATGATTCATGATTAAAGCTTCACATGGAAGCTTGAAAGGGCTAAAAGTTGCGGGTGGGGAAAAACATTTAGCTACAAAATTTCTTGGAGAACCCATGTCACCAATTAGTACTAAAACCACAAAATTTCCATAAATAAAAAATAATAACGGGTTGGTAACAAGACGATGAACTCCTAGAAACCCTATAAGCCAATAAAAAAGAAAAAAAAGAAAAAGAAAAAAAGAACCGAAATAGGAAGAGAAAAAGGGGAAATCCTTACCGCTGAAGTGCTGAACGAGGACTAAGAATTGGATCCTTTTCCTCATCCCACTACGCTCTGTTCTAATTTTCTTCGCTTTTGGCCCCAGTTTAGCACCACGAAAGCAACCATAACAGAACAGGGAGTAGTACTACTTTTATGGGTTAATTAATGCGAGGCCCCTGTGTTATCTTTTCTGAACTTGCTACTACTACCACCTCGAGTTCTAGACGCCTTCCTCCAACTCCAATTCTTTTTTTTTTTTTGACGCTGTTACCCTGAGGGGGTCTATTTACCTTCGACCCTGTTTGGATTGAGATTTGAGGGTAATGGGGGTGAGGGAAAGGGAGGGTAACTTTTAACCTTGTTTGGGAAGTAAATATAGCAAGTTAATAAGGACGAGGGGAGGTGAAAGGAGGTGAGAAAATACCATGATTTCTTCCCCCCAATTTGGGGTGTAATAGGGGTGAAGGTAAGGAGAGGGAATACAACAAATGTAGAGAGACATATTTACCCCTAACTAAGATCAAAATCCAACGGCTAAAATTTGCTCACAGAAACCCCACAGTATAAACTCTCGTTGCAAGCGCCTCCGCCATTTCTTCTTCCTCCGCGTCTCATCTCGCCTCCGCGTCTTCTCTCCTCCGCGTCTTGTCTCACCTCAATCTCTCGCCCAGTTTGAGCGAGGGTTTTGATTTTTCAAGGTAATATTTTCTCTCTTGTTACTGAACCTGCAGGACTTGGCCTTAGATAACTCAACGAAATTGAAGAAATGAGTGAAAGCGATTGAAGCTTTTGTTCTTCCTCCCTTCTTTGAAGAGGTCTTTTGTCAACTGTGGAGAGAATATGAGCATAAATAGCTACTTTGTGGAAAAAAAAGGTTTTATTTTATTTCTCCGTAATGCTTCATTGGAACATTTTTCACGGGGATGTTGGTTAATGAGGTTGATGTTGGATAGTATTAATAAACGCAATTTGTTTTTTAGTTTTTGTTGATGAATTTACCTTGTATCATCCAAACTGAGCTTATTTGATGGAGCAATAAAATTTGTAAAAGACCGTTCAAAATTGGGGATTTTTGCAGCTTGAATGACAAGTGTTATAGTAGTTTTGTGTTCGTGTAGGTATTTGAGTTTCATCATTTAGTTGGTCATTGCTCTGCTAACTAGGTATATTTGCAAAAGAAGAGTGGAAATAAGCTTTGTATTGTTTTGTAGTCTCATCGATGAATATATTGGTTATTATTTTTCATTCCAACTATACTCCAAATTTTTTCATATTTATCTGATTTGTGTTGATTGTGGATATACAATGTGAAAGGAGATGATGACAATAATAATATATAGCAATAGATGCATATTTGATATTTAATTTCTAACAACAATATAACTTAATAATATATGAGGGTATTTATGTCAATTTATATACATTCCCTTCCCTTCCCTTCCCATTATTACATTTTCCAAGCTGGGTGAAATAACTTCCCCTTGATTCACCTTACTAGTTTTCCAAACAAGTTTTAGAAATTCCATTCTCTTCCCTTAACTTAACTTCCCCTAGGTTCCCCTAACTTCCCTTCACCCCTTCCAAATCCAAACAAGCCCTTAAGGTACCGGGTCCACTATCGGGAGAAAATACCCCCACCAAACTTTGGACGATTATCATAACCCCCATAACTTTCAGAATATCAGATAGTCCCCTTAACTTAGCCCCCCACCCCCACACATAAATAAAAAAAGACACCCAACAGCATCAATCTTGATTTTTACAAGGGTTGGAAAGATGATGTATATAGGTGATCGAATGATTGGGAGGTTTCAATACGGCTCCACAAATTTGGATTTGATTCCAACCTAGGTTATTAAGAAAAAAAAACAAGATTTGATTCCAGACTAGCGTCTTATAAAAAAATAGTAAAACCTCGTACTTCTTATAAAAAAAAAGGTAGTAAAACCTCGGTACTTGTAATTTACGAATCACAAATCACAGATCTCCTAGTATCTCATGTAAAAAAAAATTTAGTTTCGAGATGAAAAATTTGCGATACAATAACATGGCGGCATTCGAAGCCAATTTCTCTATGCGCAGCCTATCATTTACGAAGTACATATTTTGTTAAATATAGCTCCATCGTACCATCTGACCCGATCAAAATAAAACTTCAACCAAGTAAACATGTCAATTTCTTGCATATTTAAGCAGCAAGACCACATTCAGCGTAGCCAAGCACACCCATATTTTGATGCCGTTGGGCCACAAATACTTTGACATCAGTCACCGGAGCGAAACAAGCTCTACAGAATCCATCGAATCGGAAACCAAGAGCGCGTTAGATTAATTTAGAATAATCATCGTTACAAAGAAATCTAATGAAGAGCACAACTCAAAAGTTCATGTTACAATTAAAACACTCGAGCATTCCAATAGTACACTTAACACAAATGGTTCTTATGTACATTCGATTCGATCAAAAATTATAATAACCATGACTCCAGTGATCAAACCAAAGCTTTAAACCATTCTCAGCAACAAAAGATAAGATCAGTATCCGTGTTGCCAGATTTGGTTGTGAGACGCTGGGCCCTGAGCGCCACCGCTCAAATTCCCTTCACTTGCGTTCTGCTGATGCTGCTGCTGTTCTTGAGCTTGTCCTCCCTGTGACTGGTACAAGTTCAAATGACCCATTTGCCCATACTGCGACGGTTGCTGCTGCTGTCTTTGCTGCCCCTGGAACCCGTAGAATGTATTGCCAGGGAGAGCTGATACAGTTCTTGATCCTGCTCCGTGAACCCACATTGCAGGGTTCTCACTCTAGAAGCAAACATAACAGGAAATAGTAAGACGAAGAAATAAAAAGGCAAAAGTTCAGCTGAGATCCCACACATATAGGCTATTTATCACCAAGGACCTTTATGCTTCGAATTCATCAGTGAAAATCCCTGACGTCACTTCTGTCATCAGCCTAAGGACTTTCACAAACTTCTATTAAATCTTGCTGGCGTGGCAGGTCGTCCAGTAAGCAAAAAAGTTTGCTAAATTACAAGTTTGCTCTGCCAGGTCACTTGACAGATTAGCAAACTTTAATGGAAGTTTGTAAAAAAAGACTATGCTGATAACAGAGCTAATGCTAGGGCCTAGATGACTTCCAAACATTAAGGATCCAAATGATATTTGACAAATACATGAGGAGCCACCACTGAAATTGACCAATTAAAAATCATAGAGATGTGAAGTTATATAGAAAAACTAGTTACATGTTGTTGAAGTTGGAGATATTGCGACCCCTCTTTGTACTGGGAGCTCAAAGCTTCCTCAAATCCCATAGTTGTGCTGGCCGAGGCAGTGGAAGGATTTAGGGAGAAATTTCCACCGATGTTGTTTGATGCGCTAGTGAAGCCTCCGTAACCAGGAGGAAGAGGGAGAGACTGAGGCAAGCTGCTGCCAGAGACACTGCTCTTGTACTGAGGTAGTAATGGACTATACTTCATAGCTGCAGCGCTGCTTGCTGGAAGGCTGCTGAGGGTAGGAAAGTGTAGCTCTGAGGGAGAAAAGGGTAGCTGATCATGTTTGCAAAATGGCCGAGAGGGAGGGTAGGCTGAGAGTAAGGGTGGATTAAATGTTGAGGGAGTTGCGGGCTGCCAGTACTGTGAATGCTGGAGCCAGGCAGGGCTTGCTGAGTTAGCTGAGCCTCAGGCTTCACCTGTGGAAAAAAAACTAATGTTAGAATAGTTGGATGTCGCTGAAGGATATGTATCTGGAGAGAAACTGAATTATAGATAAATCTGCAAGTTTGGAAAGTAAGGACCAGCTAAACATGGATTAATGTTTCCACAGACTTGTATTATGAACAGCTATAAGACTAGCAATGCTTCATGGATCAGGGTGGTGATCATTTAAAAAATGTGCAAATTGAGTACAGCAAAAATAAAAATGGTATGATGGACAAGTAGATATACACCAGGAGATAAAATAAGAATGAACTTATTCCTAAGAAGTTTTGTGATTGCTCTTACTGAGGATGAGGATAAAAACGATGCATTGATTGAGATGATTTGGCAAGAGGCCACAAAATCTACCAATTAGAAGTGATAAGGTTGTATCCAATGGAGTACGGAGGACTAGACGTAGGAGGTAGGCTTAACAGGAGACGGTTACGAACAACTAAGAAGAATATGACAACTGGTTAACTTACTGGAGGAGATGGCCATGTTAATGGGAGAATAGAATTCATGTAGCCCACCCCAAAAATTTGCAATCAAGCCTTTGTTATTGTCGTTGCAGATTTCCCATAGCATGCGTACAGATATAGAACCTTACAATAAAAGAAAATCATGTTCCACCACGAAGATTGGATTTTGAGAAAAGGAAAAAATGGAAAATACAGCTCAATCCGGTGCCTGCTGGTTTAGAATTCCCAAAAACTTTTGTAAACATATATGGGCATGTACCTTCAACCTTTATTATCAAGAAGGTTTTGCCTCTTTTAGGGAAATATTAGATGTATGATATTCCTATAAGTTAGGTTAAATAAGCTAGAACTCAATTATAATAAAGAAAGTAGAAATGCGATGAGTGAAGCTCTTAAATTTAGTCCCTCTAACCATTACACAAAAACCTGGACTCATGCAGCAGAAATAATTTTTTAAAATTCATATTAAATTCGTGACTAGCAAGATTTGAACCTGAGTTGCTCTCATAACATCATCTAAAATTTAGTCCCTCTAACCGTTACACAAAAACTCCGAAGTTATGGTGAGGGTCTAGTATTATAGTTTTATATTAATCTAACAGAAGCATACCTGTAAACCATAAACATGAAAATATTATTAATGTACAAATAATCTCGCCACTCCATCATTTGTTCTTTGTAGCTTAAAACAATGTATACGAGCCCTGGTACCAGGACGGTTATAAAAAATAATAAAGCCTTTAAAAATATATCATACCTCTGGCACGGAAATGGACCCACTAACAGCGGGTGTCACTGTGTTGTATCTTGTAGTTCCAAGTAAAGATGAGAAAGGGAGGTCAAAATCTCGAAGAGGTTGTCCGGTTTGTGCCAATAAACTGCTTGGTAAATTGCTTGGTAAAGGGTTGGTATATGGTTGCTGCACCAAAAGATGAACTTTGAAAATCAACAAAAGCATATGAACAGTATAAGTGGCATGAAAACCACAGTCAGCACTGAAGTAATAAAAAGACAATATCTACCTCAGGCCAACATGCATGTAATAACTCATAGCCAAATGCCCACAAGAATTTAAGCAAATCAACCAGAAACAAAATTTCTGGAGAACAAAACTTTACTCAAGCTGATATTTACATCGACCAATGCATATTATAACACAATGCACACCCTCTATATCAACTCTAAAGGAGGCAAAAAAATGCTAATTCCAAACAGACACGCACATAATTTTTTTTTCCTTTACAGCCTTTTTACTATATGAGTATTAATAACATCTTTGAAAAATACACATATCAGGATGTAACCCAATACTATATGTAAAAAGGACAATATTCCACAAAAAAGAAAAGAAAGTTCAGACTCATTTCCCATTGCTTCAGTAATGAATTATAGAAAATATTATCAAATGTTATGTTTTTGGACCGATTTACCAGTAGGAACACAAAATAAATCACTGCAAGAAGATTTGACAAGTCTTGTCCTAGCATCCTGCATATTTGAATCTATAGATTCCTGCTTCTTATAATGACGCTTTAACTCAAATTACAACACCTAAGCACATTAGTACAATAGTACAATATTTTGGGCCTATGAATATGCATACAAATTTCTCCTCATGTGGATCATCTTTCTGAAGGTGCTGCCTGTGTCCATGCATGCAAGTTGTACTTTCTTCTAAACGTTTAGAGTGGATCTTGATTGCTACCTTGCTTGCTTACTTATCAGGGTAATGCAAGCCCAAGGACAGTTTATTAGCCATTACATTTAAGTCGATACTAGTAAATTCCCAGATAAATTTAAGACCATAAGCAAAACTTAACTGCAGGGCTCTGCAGCAAACCCTTTCAGGAAATGGGGAGATTTGTCCTCATAGAAAAGAAAATAATTCGAGTTACAAGGATACAACCTTCATCTAAGTTTAAGCAGATTGAATACTAGACCTAATCCAAAAGAAGAAGAAAAAAGGAGGCGAAATAAACCAATCCATAAATATTGCTGGCATGGTCATGCGGAATTCTCACAAACTAGAGTCTGACCCTTAAGAATAGGCCTCTGACATGAATGAGGCACGGCATACTGAAGCTAAATATAAGCCAAATATCCTCTATTTTAACTATTTCAGAATACAATGGCCTTCTAGTTACCCATTTTATTTTCCAGACAGTCAAAGAGATACTCTAAGATTTCCTTTTTACACCCCATCGAAGGCCTTTTCCCTAGTCTCAGATGCAGACTCAGGTAAACTGGGAACTCTATGAACCCTCTTAAAAATCTACAATGGTTAAGGTTAACACTGGCTGTTGTTGCCCTTGCTCCAACAACATCAAGCAACTGAACAAGTGAGCATACCCAAGAAATGGTTTTAGATTCCCTTGTTATTCTCCCTTGAAAGGCTAATGCAATAGTATCAGATGCAGATTCAAGTAAATTGGAAACCCTATAAACCCACACAAAGAACTACAGCGCTTCAAGGTTAATACTTGCTTGTCACCCTTGCTCCCACAACGTCAAGAAACCGAACACAAGCAAGAATACTGACTAGTGACTATTACACTGCTAAAATCTCCATAACAATGATAATACTTGAAATTAACTTTATAACTACTACAAATGACACAGATAGAATAAAAACTATTAAGCTAGAATCTAACAATAAAGCAATATGTTATAGAAAATCCTAATGATTAACATTATAGAAATCCTAAAAGCCTCCATACAATGGATTTGATACTCTCATATTTGCTTAAACCAGAAACGAACTTCAACTCCCAGCTGCAGAACTGTACATTAGAAAATCGCGTTTATTCATTTATTGTTTTCTCAATCAAACATAAACATAATTTTACTACTCCTGAAAAATAATGTCTAGTTTTTCAGCATTTTCCATTTCCACGTGTTCGCTTAGATCATAACGGACCTTCTGTCACAAGTCACAACAAAAGTAGTTCAATTGCAAAAACAAATTTTTGGGTTACCATGTACAAGAACCTGAATACCTCATATCTACAGTTGAATCAGGAAAAAGATATCTACGGATGCAACTTCTACAAGTGCTTTAGTGTGTGTGTGTTTTTTTGTGTTTTTTTTTTATTTTTTATTTTTTATTTTTTATTTTTGTTGGGGGGGGGGGGGGGGCAGACAGAGTTAAGACTTGTCCTTTATTGTGCCACACAAGACACCAGAGACATGCATCTAATGCATGAGGACATGGCTACCACTAGGATCCATGACCAAGTAAATAAATTAATAAGAGGTTGAAACATTCATCGTACCATATGAGCTTGCATTTTAGGATGAAGTTGGATTAAGTCAATTCAAATATGATTTAACACATTCTGAATTCCAATAAGTCGGATCAGCTACAACATGAGTCAATTCAAATATGATTTAACACATTCTGAATTCCAATAAGTCAGATCGGCCACAACATGAGTCAAAATGTTATAAACTTTCTGTTTTGATACTTGTCTCTGGCTTATGAATGATTATTACCGACTCCTATATACTGGTTGTCATAGTTATCACTCGATATGTATTTATTTATTATCATATACTATCATATAGTACCTGAATCTAATAGTGTGCTCTCAATGTTTTCCAACATTAATATGATCAATATGCTTTATAAAATGCATACATAATGCCCACATTTTCAACAGTAATATAACTGACTGTCATTTACCAAATGGCATGACCAAACAACACTGTTACACTAATAAGTTTGCAAAGATCAACCTTACGTAGATATTTAATAAAAAATACCAGAAACTGAAAAAAATTAAAAAGAAATGTCAGTTATGCCAGGCCACAAGTACCAATCTAAGAAGCACCGACTCGTGAAAACTCCCCACGTCCCCGTGTCCGACGCTTGTCGGGGACGGACGCGCGTTCGACACGCGTTCGACACGCGTCGGACACGGCGTCAACGGCGTCGACACGGTCAGCGCTAGTCGACACGGCGAAGTTGAGGGTGACACGGCGAAGTTGAGGGCGACACGGCAAAACCAGGCTTTGAAACCCAAACCCGAAACCCAAACCCGATTTCAAACAGAAACCCAAACCCTAACCCTAGTCGTGAAGCCGTGAGAAAACTTACCCGATTTCTCGTCGAAAGGGCTCTTGCGAAGTGAAGAGGCGCCGCCAGCTCTCAGCTCTCCTCCTCGTCGTCGTCGTCGTCAGCA